TTGATACTTTATGATGATTATGTTTATCTACTTCACCATACCATATTGTATCTAAATATCTTTCTACACATTTTGTTGCTAAAAATCGACGACTGTTATTTTCTTTTGCCAATCGCAATGGGCTATAATCAAAGTATATTTTAGATTTCGTAGTTAACACTTGTATGCCAAAATCTTCATCTTCCTCGAAACATTGATCAATTATATGAGCTGCATGTTCATCAAATTGTCTATATAGAACAACTTTTCATTAGCCAGTAAAGAAGTAAAAGAAAGATACTCTTACTTTTCCTTTTCTTGAAATTTTTTTGTATCCTCAGCAAGTAATGATAAATCAGCTGCACTTCGATAAATTTTACTAGCGACTAAAGCAGCAGCTGTTGTATTCTAGCCGAATGGAAAAAGACGACCACTTCATCACTCAGTTAAATAGTTTAGAAAAAGACTTACAGAACTTTGAGAACACAGATAAGTCGTAATATTGTATTCACTTGCGAATATGGACCAGAGGAATAGATCACGAATAAACACTACAAGTTCAATAATAAATACTCAATTTTTAACAAAATTCGACAGTCAGATGACATACCAGAAGGCCGTATAATACTAAAACTAAATGCAATGCCTTGACTTTGTTCATTATTAAAATCCACAGGCGTGTTCTTTTCTTGTTTGTTTAAAATATTACGTAATTCAACAGAATACTGATTACGATCATGTATACTATAGATGTTGCCCGTATTTTCCCCGAAACCAATAGCCAAAAATTGTTCATTTGATGTAAACAGTGAAGTGCCTAAATGAAAATTTTGTATGCCGGCTAATGGTTTAATATCTTCAGACGGAATTTGATATTGAAGTGTAATAGTGAACTGAGTTGAATTTTTTGTTGCAGAAAGAATAAATAACCATATTTGAGGCTTAACACTTGTCGGAGCCTCATGAAAATTGATCGAAACACTATTGATGTATCCATTTGTTCTTATCATATCAACTGAATTAAAGAGAACTTGACCACTGAAATTTTCAGCTTTATTTTCAATTGTATCATCTAGTATTCCATATATATTACCTAGAAAACCAGAATATTTTTCTGCAAAACTGTTTCTACTCAGGAGGAATGAACCTGTACGTACTTAAATCTGTTTCATTTTCTTTCTAAACACAAATAAAAGCAGAATGGTAAACGAATGTGTAACTGCAGAATATGGAGAGCATACTTTTCTAAAAGAACTGTTCTTGCAGCATATTTATTTAAATATGTAAGATAATAATAAAATTGTTTCGTTTTCCTTTCTCCATCCGTGCATGACTTTAAAAGTGTTTCAAATTTCTTTGTTTGTCGTTTACTTTCTAGTGATGGTATGTTACTTTGCTATGAGATAGAAACACATGCTGCTGCTTTTTCTGAGTGTTTTTGTATATATATATCGTATACATACCGCATTTTCATACAGATCATCGATTTTAACTAAGCTTTTTAAACGATATAATGATGTTCCATGCTGAATTAGTAACTCAATGAATTGAACAGACGTTAAACGTAAGGCATTTAACAAACCAAAATCGAGCCCACGACCCTGAAACAAAGTGATAAAATAGAAGTTAAGAATTAGATTCTGGTGGTCTCGGGTAGGTCGACCGCTGAGAAGTATCTTAGAATTTTAGTTTTACATGTGAATTATGTCGCACTAATGTTTTGATATCTTAAAAGACCTGTACATCTGTACCAATTTTTCCACCACATACTTCCAGTGATGCCTCACTCATTCCAAAATTTCACGAGGTTTACAATTACGGAAATCATTTTGTTTTCGTAGATATGGTAGGCTAACGAATTGGAATGACCAATTGGACGTCTAACTCATTAAATTCATCGTTTTATTCCCACTTTCGTTATTGCACGGATTTGACAACGAATAAATAGAACGAACACTACTGAGTATTTCCGGACAATCGGTTATATCTTATCTCGGAGACGGAAAGCGGAAAATTTTTGTCCTTATGCTAGCGGTCTACTGGTATGAATAGACATGCACCAGTACCAATCATTATTGAAGATAATATACAATTTTATTGGATGCCACAATACACTGGATCTTTTAGTTTCATCCTTGTTATAAAAAGTCGATTCATCTTCGTACAGAAGTTACAATTTTGTGAAACTTTAGTTCTATGGTTTTTCAAAATATTGCGGTTGTAAAAGGACTAGAAACAAGTGTTAAAGAGCTGGAAGACAGTGGATTTCGCATGCAATGTACTCGACTGCTGTTCAAAGCTATGCAATGTTTTGCATTAGCATTCTTCGTATCTAATTTTTTAACCTGAATATCATTTACATTCATAAAAGTAGACTTAACTGAAGCTATCCAATATCCAGTAATATTATAAAAACCCAATATGTTGGGTATACAATAATATTGGAACGCAATATTATTAGTGTTCAATACATTGGAACCTAATATATTGTATTGATGTGTGCCTAGTTACAAACGAACTCATCGAGGTCTGAATAATTTCTTTGGACAAAACGAGAAATGATCACGGAAATAACGTGCTTTTGAGCCTGGTTGACAAAGTTTTGAAAAAAAATATGCAAAAGATGTCGGTTACGAAAAATAAATCTTTTTATGCCAAAACCGTCGAAGAGATCACAGTAAAAAGCATGTAATGTATGTTCAGTCGTCTGCATGATCAGAAAACATGATTTAGATCTCGGAAGTTGGTCCAAATGTAATTAAATTCTTTATAACTACATATATTTTTAATACTGAAATGTCTTGCAGAAATGGGTTAGTAATTTCTACAATTGTTACTAATGATAATATCTCATCATTCATTAAAAGTCATAATGTTTGAACATCGCGTACGAAGTTGTTCGAAAATTATTTCTCAACTAAGTTACATATAAATGTTCTGAATACCGGAAATATCCAATCTGTAATTATCAGTTGAAAATAAAACAATATCCGAATGACAATTATGAAGCATTTTATTCCTCATCACATGGACATGAACAACGTGTTGATAAAAATCGTCTTTCTTCTCCTATATGGTATAATGTTCGTGGTACGACTGACAATGATTGAATGAATACTAAATGTTCCAGTATTTCTCTACCTGTTTGATTTTTTTGGTTAAATAATTGAAACTGAACATTTACCGGAAAACTAGTATAAATTAGATGGAGAACAGAGATAGCTTATGCATTCAGAAGTATTGCGAAATTCAAAACATGTTTATCTTAGCATAAGCTTGATAAGATTGTTTTCCGTAATTTAATCAGTGATTTCGCCATAAAAAATTTATTTTCCTTTACCGAGTTCTTTTACCGGATTTTTCTTAAACATTTGTCAACCAGAATCAAAAGTATGTTGTTTCCATGATCTTTTAAATTCATGTCCAATTTCTTTTAGTGCGCTTAACCTTCTTTTCATTTACACCAAAATGGCCGCAAACGGCGTGCTAGTTACTAAATGAGATTACTTTTCTAGATGATACTATTGAAAGAGTATCGTGATGGTATAAAACTGATCTATCTCTCATGCTCGATGGACAAGCAATACATCGGACTATTATTTTCGAAGTTAACTATTGATTGATCATATAGCAAAACTCTTAGGGTAAAACAAAATTTTAAGATCCTTTCAAGTGCTGATTTGCCAGAAACTATCAAAAACTGCGTGAGTTGTATCGATTACAGATGATCAAAGAAAAAAGCCAGAAATCAGACGTGCGGTCTCTATGCATAAACCTTTTTCAAAAACCGACAGGAGTGGGAAAAATACTTATAACTTTTGACAGGAGATAGTAAGAGACCTGCGGTTTAACCATTCGAAAGAGGACAGTGGGACAAGTAAACCTATGAAAAAACAGGGTATTCGATCACGTTTACCATGGTGTACTATTCGAGACAAAATCTGAAAGCTTATCGTTCCCAAACCACACTATGGCATCCAATCTCAAATAATACCAAGCGATCGCCAAAACATTTCTCTTCAAAACTACGTAAGGCCTAGGTCTCCATCTCTTTTAATTTCGGAGATACAGGCGTTTTCCGAGGACACACCTATCTCATTGCAGACACGTCTTAGAATCTCAGAAACATGTGGATCATAGGTAATTGACCACGTCGATCATCGTGGCGATGTTCGTTTCATTCCGCACTTAACTGCGCTTCAGAAAACCCAATTTGTCAAAAGTCGGTTTTTCGCTTGCTACCGTCAAAAATTAAAAGGCTCAGACTTTCAGGGAATGATTAGCAGAGACCATAGGATGCAGATCAAGTCGAAAACATTGCATAAGGTTTGCAGTTTAGGCATATGATTTTTTAGCGGATCTCTGGAAACCTCCCACGGAACAAAAGTTTGGATCTGATTTTTTCGACTTGATCTGCACTCTATGGTCTCTGCTAATCATTCCCTGAAAGTCTGAGCCTTTTGGGACGAGAAGTGAGTGAAATATAAGGCTTTTAATTCTTGACGGTAGCAAGCTTTCAGATTTTGTCTCGAATAGTACACCATGGTAAACGTGATTGGATACCCTGTTTTTTCATAGGTTTACTTGTCCCGCTGTCCTCTTTCGAATGGT